TGATTTGTCCTCGTTCTGGCAGGTGAACTCCTCTATCCATGCTTTGGCAATTCAGGCGGAGAGGGCTTGAAGCGAGTAGAAGCTGCCGAAGCGGCTTCCCGTGCTGCGCGGGCCAAGCTATCGAGGTCTCGGAGGGACACAGAGGCCTTAGGAATGGTGGTGAGACATATGGCCGACCTGAAGCTGGACTTGGAGCATCAGGTCGAGTACCTTCAGAAAGATATTAGGGAGAAGACTCAGATCTTTTCTCAGGCCGTCGAGGAGGCGAAGGTGAAAGCCGTCGAGGATTACATCGCTTCACCGCGTTTTGACGATATGATGGTGGGCTCGTACAGACGGGGTTTCAAGTTGAGCCGATGGATGATAAGGAACACGTACCCCGAGCTCGACATTAGTGCCATAACCACCTTACGCATCACTTAGGAGATGGCTGCCGCAGCTAATGACGATGCAGATTCCGAAGATGAAGCAGGTCCTTCGGGTGTTGTCGAAGTCCCTTCTGAAGGCGAGGAAGATTGACCTCTGGGCTTGTGAGCTCGTTTGTGTTTTTTGTTTGTTTTTGCTTTTTCCTTTTAAACAGTGTAAAGCAAACATTTAGCAATGAAGTACTTTTCTTGTTCAAAAGTGTTGTGCAAATATTCTTCTCTTGCCGAAGTGAGTATATACCCAAGCTGCTAGACAAGCCCCGAGGCAAGTTAACATAGTAAGGCTATGTGCCCGATCTATTCTCCGCCCGGGTTAGTTAACTTAGGCTGAATTGGGCCCTGGGCTATGCACCTCGGGATCCATACCTGTGCAGATTGCTTTCGTTGATGAGGTGCCGAGGTCATCTTTAGCTCGGTATTCTGCCCCTTTCGGTGCCGAGGTCCTTGCTAGTTCGGCATTCTGGCCCTTAGGCTCTGGTAGTGGCTCATGGCCTGCTTAGTTTGATAATTTATAGGTAAAATCATCTTAAGTTGACGATGTTTCATGCCCGGGGTATCTATTTACCTTCCAGGGTCTCGAGCTCGTATGCTCCCCCGAGTACTCTCTTCACTCGGTAGGGTCCTTCCCAGTTTGGCCCGAGTTTGCCAACGCCAGGCTCAGGTACCATGATTTTGCAGAGGACCAGGTCGCCGACGCGAAAGTTTCGTTTCTTAACTTTGGCGTTGTAGTACCGAGCTACCCTTTGCTGGTATGCTGCGGTTCTGATGTATGCGAGGTCCCTCACCTCGTCAAGTAGGTTGAGGTTGGGATGAATGCCTCCGTGCCGTAGGTGAGGTTGAAGGGAGTTTCTCTAGTGGCGGTCTTCTCTGTAGTTCGGTATGCCCATAGGACGCTGGGCAGCTCGTCTGCCCATAACCCTTTAGCTGCGTACCGTTTGCTTGTGGGTGCGCAACCGACGTGAAGTTTTGCCGAATCCCCATGCTTTGGCACCACTCTTGGAATTTGATGTCTTCAAACTGCTTGCCGTTGTCGGAAATCAGCACCCGAGGTAGCCCAAAGCGGCACACTATATTCTTCCAGAATAAGTTTTGGACGTTTCGAGCTGTGATGGTTACGAGAGTTTCAGCTTCAACCCACTTGGTGAAGTAATCTACTGCCACTACTAAGAACTTCCTTCCTCCTGTTGCTGGTGGGAATGGCCCGAGTAGGTCGATACCCCATTGTGCGAAGGGCCATGGGCTGGTGAGGTACTTGAGGTCAGCGGCGGGCTATTGGTGAATATTGGCATGCTTTTGGCACTTCTCGCACTTCCTGATTAGCCCGACGGCGTCTGCTTTCATTGTTGACCAATAGTACCCCTGTTGTAGTGTCTTCTGAGCGACGGTCCTACCCCCCAAGTGTCCGCCACATAGGCCTTCATGAATGTCACAGAGT